AAGAACCCACATACACCCACACTCCTCTTGGGACAGCCCTGTGAGAAGATACACCATGGGAAGTGTCGTCCCTGCTGAACATCTTAGCATTAATGCTGTCATGTCAGAAGAAAGTAACCAGGATTGGACATTTCCACTGCACATGGATGATTAAATGGAAATGAGTTTTTCTGCTTTCCAACGATCAACCCTGAGCTTCGCCTTTAGGGCATCTTTCGAACAGAAACTTTGTCTCAGCAGCTAAAACCATTATGCACGACACCGACGTACACACAAAGTGTTCTCGTGAGCAGATTCATGGAAGCCACTTCACAACCAAGATACCTACTGACAGCGTGAGGATCAGACATTTACAGAAAAGCCAGCAAATGAAGACCTGACTTGCCTGCTACTACACACACAGCTTCCAACACGTCCCTGTCCATAATGCCTAATTCACACGGACATACAGAACTATCACGAGCAAAACCACTGCCTCGCAAAACAGTTATGTGTCAGGGAGAAAACACAGCAAATAATGTGGGAACACTTGAGCTCTTTTTATACTCCTGGCATTAAAAATGAGCGTGGCTGACGGCCAAACACACCCTGAGACGTTTTGGGCTAATTGTTTCCTTCAGTTTCAAACACTCCCCCTTCAATCTATTCAAAACTCTCTTTCCTCCCCTCCTCACCGTGCAACCCCTCCCCGCCACCTCTCTGCGTCTTCTAATAGGTTTAAATATAACCTGCAATTGGTCCAGTAAACCCCTCATTATGGTGTTTTAATAGAATGAATTTAGGATAGCGCGGGGTCGAGGGTCAATGGGAGGTTCTAACATGCAGCAGCTGTCATGGGGGTTGGACTGTGATTAGAACCAGTAGAGTCAAACATCCCCGGGTCCTCGACCTCACTAAGTAGACAACCTGGAAAATACATTTGGCCACAGACCAAAATGGAAAACATCCACCATCCATGTTCCAGAGGGGGTGGGATGAGTGGAGATGGAACGGAGAGGAGGAGTAGGTACATCCATCACTGAGAGTTCACTTTAATGTGTGTGAACCTGACAGGAAAATCCTCTGCAACTTTTAACCTTGAGATGTTACAACACCAAGTCCCATAACTGTACCAGGACTGTAAAATACATATTTTGAATCTATGATTTTCATAGTGGGGCTTTTTTTTTTTTTTTTAATTCATACTCTAACTGTAACCTGAATCCTTACCTTCCAGTTGCATTTCCTGCAACTATAAATTTTGCACTAATTACCTTCTTTCTGAGTGTGTGAAACCAAAGATAGACGTGGTCTGGTTGATGTGGTGCGGGGGTGAAATACGGCTTGTTAGCAGCCCAGGAGCTTGTTCCACATGTGGTTAGGCAGTGGTTGGGATTGTCTGGGTGAGAGGGAGGGCATGCCAGTCTCCACAGTTCACCAAGTTTACACTGACTCAGTGTGCAATCAGTAACATTATTTAGCAGAATGAAGGCCTGCTGTTTGGGTTAGGGCGCTGTGGTGACTACAGACAAAGGTTTCCACAGTTGTTCCTCATGTGGAAAATTTTGTATAAATTCTATCAGGATTCTTGTGGTGCTGAATTCATACATCCTGCACCAAAATGTGGATTTAAATATTAAATCTATGGTTTTGCATGTCATATTTTGTTGGATGCATAGCAGACATTTACACAGCTGAAGTGATTTATGAACTTGATGACCTTTAAGAACTCCTTATCAGGTTCACATCATTCTAACACATATAAAACTCTTATCTATACTGTACAACACTGTGACAATTTATGCCAATTTAACTGCTATTGAATAACTTGGCCAGAGTGAAGAAATGTGCCTAAGTGTATTTAAACACAGAAGCGGAGACCAAAGGGGGCAAGATTCCTGTGGGTGACTGTGTAATTTAATTTTGTATGCACATTAGGAGCCAGAGAGTATAATTTACATGTGGGGTAGAAGTGACTAGGGCCCAGGAGAAAAAGGGGCTAACATGCTCTGCTAAGGCCCTGAAAAAAAAGAAAAATCTGAAAATCTTTACCCGGTTCTTTCCTTTGAGATACATCTTGCAAAAATAGGAAAATTAAAACCTTCCTTCATTCTCTGGGACACTTAAGGTTCATGCGCGGTTACCTCTCCTCTGCTGCTCCTTCCTTTTCTAATCAAGAGCCCAGAGCCCACAAATTCTGGCCAGAGTTTCTCGCCACAATACAGGGAGGTATGAAGGGGGAAGGATGGGGTCTCTTTTTTAAGTCTGTCTCCTTCTTCTCCGTCTCTTCCTCTCTACCCAGAAAACAAGGCTGTCTGACAGTCTTAGTAGGGTGAGACAACAGCTGTCACTCATGTTGGACTCGCGCAGTGTTGCTCTACCTGAGATGAGTTCTCCCAAAAAATAGTAAACAAATGAAGCATTATGAACTATAACACACTGCTTTCATTAGTATTGATGCGGTTGTTTGTCTGACTGTCTGTCGGCAGGATACCTCAACCCTGACGAAAGGATTTCCATGAAATTTGGTGGAGGAGAGCAGGATTTGGGCCAGGAACAGTTGATTCATTTTCAATAGTGATTGAGAGCAGGGATTTCCAGCATTACATGTGACACAAAGAAAGATTTAATTGCAAATCCAAAGGGGAATATTAACAGGATCAGGAAATCAATTTAATTTATATGCCAGTGACAGGAATTATGTCCTGTGTGTTACAGCAAATTGAAAAAATTAATGAAGATTTGTACTCGCTCTCTAGCCTATTATTAAGACTAACACTGGCCTCATGTCAGGACGAGCAACAGGTGGATGTAGTTATTCCCCTGAAAACCAATGAGATAGACATGTAATACGTCTAAGTAAAAGTCGACGATCTCATTTTCAAAATGTTTAGATTTGTTCAAGTAAATAAAATTCAATACAATAAGTTCACACATGTTTGGGCAGTGACCAAGTGATCTACAATTCCACACATCTGAGACTTAATATGTTGTCAACGCACACAGTGAATACTTTTCCATGTGTGTGGAGCGGGACGAGAACGAAGCCAGACTCATTCATGTTTGACAGCTCTCCGCTGTCCTGTCTGTTCACACACACACACACACACATATACACACACATACATACACACACACACACACACACTCTCTCTCTCACACACACACACACACACACACATGCACTGAACTTGACCCAATGAGCGCTTTGACAGCAGCTGCTAAGCTGCTAGGAAGGAAAACAGGATTGACCATGTGAGCACTTTCAATTCATACTTTCTGATTAATTAAAACTTAACAGCAGCAACTTATTTTGGGTTACATCATAACAAGAGACAGACACCGTCCTTTTCACAATAAAGAAAACATGGTTTGATTCAAATTCAAGCCCACTGTCTTCTTCAGCCTAGTGTTAATCAAAGAAAAAACATGCAAACATCTTACCTTACTGTGCAAACCGTTACCTCTTTTGCAGGAAATTCTGTTCTCTATGTGCAACCCACAGTTTCTATTATTTCCACATTACAAACTCTCGTCTTCCCTCAGCCACCTGCAGTGTGCATCGAGCAAAGCAAACTGCCGTCCAGCACAAACATACCTTGTCTTTTCATGGGGAGGCCAGTGATAAAAATCATCCCACAATACATGAACACAAAGACACCATTAACAAAGGCAGTGATTCAATCTACCCTCTTATCTCCTCTGCTCTTTATATCTTCAGTGTCATAAAAAAAGCCTAGTGGGGAGAAGTAACTTATGGATTACACACAGCCTGTTTTGACAAATTAACTTCCTCTTCTAAATTTGGAACATTTATAAAAAAACCCACTGTAATTGGACTCGCACACGGGCCTGTGAAAGTTGGAGTTTTTCTTATCAAAGCAAGCACAACTTTTTTATTTTTGTCAGGAGTCGGCTCAGGAGTGAAACTGTGAGTTTCACAGTCGTGATCATTTGTTTAGATTCAAATTCAACTCTTCGCAGAAATTCACAGACACACAGGAGGAAAAATTAAAATATAGGCAGCCATGCAGGGCTTTGTATCACACACTGAACTTTCCTTAAAACACTGCTACATGATTGCTGTAAGTAAAAATCATCCTGTCTCTGTGACAATGACTCTCAATCTGTCAGACCTGACGTGAATAATATATTTGTTATAATTTTCAATCCAGCTTCAAGTTAGTTCATTAATACAGAATTTGTCGTTTCAAACCTAACCAAACTGACAAAAGCATATACAGTTTTTGAGACTTAATACTTGACACTGTCCCTGTCCGTTATCTGAGAGAATAAAAACCTGTAAATCACATTTTGTGTTACTCTCCACATGCCACAACTCTACCTGTGGCCGACGTTTGTTTAGATCAACTTCACTTTAGAGCATCACATATTAAACCTCAGTCTTTATCTCAGTGAGATATAAGCACAAATGTTTTTATGCATTTTATAAAAATAAAATACTTACTACTTTTGACATTTGACATAATCATTATGTCCTGACTATTCTTTCACAGTGACATACCCTTATTATATCATGTCTATGCTATATATTTTCAATGAAATAAAACCTGTAAATGTAGAGATAAGTAAGCTACAATATACAGAAATTAAAAGGCTATACTGCAATAGTACCAAATGCTATTTTTACATTTAGAGACTGGAGATGTTTACATTTGCTGCATTGATAATAGAAGAACAATAAAACACCTACAGTGTATTTTTAAAACATGAGTAATTTCTGAACTCATTATTTTTCCTAAAGTATTAGAAATTTGGGGCTTAATGTGTGTTTGTCACATAACGTGTACAACTTTAATAAAAACAGAACTGTGTCACTAATGAAAAAAAAAGAGAAAATCATTATAATAAGAAAGCCCACATTAAAACGTGAACCAATGGGGGGAAAGTGCTGATTTGTTCCAGCCAATCCCAGGCGGAAGGTGGAGTGACGATTTTAAAACTCCAACTCAAGTTGCTGTAACGTGTAGCTCCTCAGCTCACATTGTGGACCACAACTTTCACGACCGCACCTCCCATGACAGCCTTGGAAAACAAGACAACCGAAGACAAACAAACAGGGAAGCAGAAGGAAAACAGCGGACTCTTATTGACTGAAATTGTTAAAGGAATTTACTGTGGCGCACCGTGCGTAAAAAGCGCACTGGGCACTTTGCTGCGCGCTTGAATTCATTAGTAAAGTTTGTTTTGTTTTTTTGTTTGTTTTTTTTTTGTTTTGTGTTTTTATTTGACGATTACAGCTTGTTTTTGGATTTTCACCCCCACGGGGCTGAATAGATAATGTTGAAAATGACAGAGGAGCACGACAAGTGTGTCAGCGACCAGCCCTGCAGTCCATCAGGCACGAACAGCTCCATGTCCCAGGACGAATCCGACTCCGACGCTCCGTCCTCTCCGACGGGATCCGACGGCCAAGGATCCCTGCTCACCGGTTTGGGCAAGAAACTGGACTCCGAGGATGACGACCGGTTCCCAGCTTGCATACGGGACGCCGTTTCTCAGGTGCTGAAGGGATACGACTGGTCCTTGGTGCCCATGCCCGTTAGAGGGAACGGATCCCTGAAGAGTAAACCCCACGTCAAAAGACCCATGAACGCGTTCATGGTGTGGGCGCAAGCGGCCCGCAGAAAGCTGGCGGATCAGTATCCACACCTGCATAACGCCGAGCTGAGCAAGACGCTGGGGAAACTGTGGCGGTAAGGAAACATTTCATTTATTATAAGGAGAATGCAGGGAGAGAAAGAAAGAAAAGAAAATAACTGAGATAATCAACATTTAATAAGTCAGATTTCACTTTAACAACATTGGCAATGACATAAAAATATAAAATTCACTAATTTTTAATAAATTTTGGGCTTTGAATGTAAATGATTTAGGAGGAGAAACCAAGAAAGGAAAATTGACATTTTTTTCCCTGACCCCTTGACAATAAATAAAAAGCTCCAAAGTAACTTTTTAACAGTTTTTTTTTTTTTAAACAGTTAACATTTTTATCTTTTTTATTTATGTTTAGTTTGACTGAATAACTTTTGGTATTTTACATATTCCTTTTCACCACAGTTTGCTCTCAGAGAGTGAAAAGAGGCCGTTTGTAGATGAAGCAGAGAGGCTTCGGGTTCAGCACAAGAAAGATCATCCAGACTACAAGTACCAGCCTCGGCGACGGAAGAATGTGAAACCAGGCCAGAGCGACTCAGACTCAGGAGCAGAACTGGCACACCACATGTATAAAGCTGAACCAGGAATGGGAGGACTGGCAGGGATGACTGATGGGCACCACCACCCTGAACATGCAGGTGTGTTCTCACATTTAATACCAGAAGTAATGTATCAAACACAATCTAGTTTATCAGTTTTATTTTAAAATAGTTTTAGGCCACAGTGAATTGTTTAATATGTTTAATTTAAATGTTTTGTGAACATTGTTTTTTTTCCTGATATTTTCCCTTCAGGGCAGCCCCACGGTCCCCCTACACCACCCACTACTCCCAAAACAGATCTGCACCACGGGGTGAAGCAAGATCTGAAACATGAAGGCCGTCGTCTTGTTGACAGCAGCAGGCAAAACATCGACTTCAGCAATGTAGACATCTCTGAGCTCAGTACTGATGTCATCAGCAACATGGAGACCTTTGACGTGCACGAGTTTGACCAGTACCTCCCGCTCAACGGCCACGCCTCAGGCTCCTCCACCCTGCCCTCAGACCACAGCCACGGGCAGGCTCCAGCACCCGGCGGCTCTTACCCTTCCTCATACAGCCACGCAGGTGCCAACGGGTCAGCGTGGAGTCGCAAGACCGCCATGTCCTCCTCCTCTTCCTCCGCCAGCGAGGTGGGCCAGCACCGGCTCCATATTAAAACGGAGCAACTGAGCCCCAGCCACTACAGCGAGCACTCCCACGGGTCACCCTCGCACTCCGATTACGGCTCCTACAGTAGCCAGGCCTGTGTCACTTCGGCCACGTCAGCTGCCTCGGCCGCAGCCTCTTTCTCCAGCTCCCAGTGTGACTATACTGACCTGCAGAGCTCCAACTATTACAACCCATACTCTGGCTACCCTTCTAGCCTCTACCAGTACCCTTACTTCCACTCATCCAGGCGGCCCTACAGCAGCCCGATCCTTAACAGTCTCTCCATGGCTCCTGCCCACAGCCCCACCGCCTCCAGCTGGGACCAGCCCGTCTACACCACGCTGTCTCGACCCTAAGGGGACAACAAACACTCAGTTCGTACCAGAGACTCATTCAGATTGATGCACTACTAATGAAGGACGCGAGGCGCAGGTGGAGAAGTGTGTGTAGGTGGTAGTAGGCTACCTGTGACCATTTGAACATGAAACAAAAGAAAAAGTGCCTGCTGATTTTATACAAAGTTATATTGTTGCGACGAAAACACACTTAGACTTTTTTCAAAGACAAATTGTGTTGTTGGTGAGCCAAACTCCTCCATGAGGACATGTCACCTACGCCTACATCTTGTACACCCCCCAACCCCCCACCCCCCTCCGTCTTTCCAGTTTAAGGTTGCACGTGTGTGCACACTTGAGGTAAAGCAAAGGCCTGCCTTGTGTAGGAGAGAAACGGTTTGGCCCGGGATTGTTGTGAAGCAGATGGAGAAGCAGATACTTTGGAGAATGTACACGGGACCAATTATGTGAATTTGCAGTAAAATTTACATGAATGGCCAGAGCTATATCACAGCATATTTGGCCATTTGCATTAGTGGATCAGTCTTAACTAAATGGCTCATATGAATCTTATAGTGTCATTTTGACATAAAAGTCTTATATGTATTTATGTTCATGCATTATTGGTTTCTTTTTTTCTTTTGTTCTTACGTAGATAAACACATGTAATGTGGGTTTGGTTATTTACAGTACTGTTTGGCTTTCATTGAAAACAAGGTAAATGAAGTGAAGGACAGCAGAAGCTCAGTGCATTTCATATCATTCCGTTTAAGACCAATTTCCTGTCCAATTTCCACACTTTCCTGTCTCCATTCCCAATTGCAAGAAAACAGAGCAGGACCAACAGACTCGCACAGGACAGAACAGGTGTCTGAAAGCTATGCTTGGCAAATTGCGATTAGTCATGATCTAGGGTTAAAGGAAATGGGGTAAAATAACACCACACACTCTGAGTGACATGTCAGCTGGACCTCTTGTATATGTGGATGGACAACACACGGATATGTGTACGTACATGCATCTGTGTGTGTGTGTCAGGGAGATACAGTTCATCTGTATGTGAGAGCCATTTTCTTGGGCAAGAAATACATATCCCATGACATAATACGCACCAATGATACTTAAAACATCTCTTTTACTGGAAATTATCTTTGAACTTTATCCGTTATTCAAAGAAGAGTGTTTAGGGTTTAAAGAGTAAATTCAGTGTGTGAGTATATGCCCAAATTGATCTCATCAACCATCACGTGCCAACTCACTGCTTCAGTCTTGCGCAAAATGTTTTTTTTTTTGTGCCTTCTAATGCTTATTGTCAGTATTTCAATATGAAATTGAATTTATTAACAAACTTCAGGCAGCACACAATCAGTAATCCACACCCGACACTCCTACAGTTAACCCGCTCCTGATTGTATCCTTAATTTGACGTCATTCCTCACAGCCTCGGTTTGTAATGTTCTGTGAGATGCTGTATGAGAAGCGTACAGAGCCACATGCTCCAGGTTTTGTCCACAGAACTGTATTTTGTATATTATTCTGGTGTATAATTTTGAGAAAGGCTGTGAAAATTATTGTTGTTCTATTAACTACAGTTTCATTCACACATACACAGCTAACCCATTCGCTGGCCATTTTTTAAAAATAAAAAAAGATACTTTTTCTTGATATTTGTCTTTGTCTTTCTTATTTGCACCCATATTTAGTTTCAACGGTTTCACATTTGTCCTTAAATATCTTCAGAAATAATTTGTCAAATAAGAAATAAATAGAATTAATTGAAGTGAACAGTTTGGGTTTGCCTCTGCACTGGATACCAGCTGTGCATATTGTCTAACATCTGCAGTGTGATCTCCAGCTGTGAGTGGAGACCTTCAGGGAATTATTCTCAGCTCTCATCCCTCCAAACACTTTTCCAAAGCGACAGCAATTAAACCTTCACAGTAAATTTAATCGGATGCTGCTCAAATCATGAACGTGCAAGTCTATCGAGTTTTGCAAATTACATGTTCAATTATTTGTTTGCTGTAGAGCTTATATGTTTTTCTTCAGAAAAATATACAGGTGTCGAAAAACAAAATTGCGAGATGTCATTGTAAACAGCTCATCTCCATTTCCGCTGCTTCTCTCAGAACTTAATGACCTTACCGACCCCTTATTTGACAATTCATATGTGGCTACATATCTACCAAAATAGTAAAGTTCAGATTTTTTTTTTGCCACACCACTGAAAAGAGAGGAATGAGGAGAGATCATATCTCCTCTGGTCCAGTGGGTAGAATGCTCAAGTTGGCCCTGGCATGCATGCCAAGCAGCCGTCCCTAACCAGCCCAGGGAGAAGCCAAGTGCCAGGGCCGCGCTGCTGAATTTTAATGATTCATTATGCTGTGGAGGGGCCCCATTGTGTCCCTTTATCCGGAGAGCTAGAAAGGAATTAATTGGACAGAAAATGGAAGGGCAAGGGGAACTGACAAGCCATTAAGAGGGTCCTGAATGGACGATTAGATGCACATGGGGGAGGATTTCCCCCCTCCCTTGCTGTCTCATATCACAACGCTCCACAAACAAAAAACAACAAGAACAACCATCACAATGACCACCAGACCAAACTGTAGAAATCATATCAGTGCACATAATCTGTAGATAATAAAAGAAGATAATACCACAGCAGATGGGGTGTGGGTGGCTCAAGAACGACTTGTTGTTTTTCTTCTCTCAAAGTCTTTTTTTTTTTTTCACCAGTGTTTGCCAAATACTTTCAGGAGGAACTCTTGAGAAAGAACAGGAGTGAATAAAAGTGAGGCAAAAAGGCTCTTCAGGGTGCTTGGGTCCTGTTTCCCTGGAACTTGTCCACAGTTTCTGATTGGGCCTCCTGAAAGCCCTACTGTAAATAGCTAAAAAAATGAACTGGAATGGGGGGACTTCACTGTGAGTTACATCAGCACATTATACTGAATGAAGGAATGAAAGAATGAATGAACGAAGGAAGGAAGGAGCATTTCTACAGCGCAGTTGCAACTTTGTCTGAGAAAACTGGTTCACTTATGAGCATATACTCAATTCAGGTGCAACTGTAGTGTCCTGCAGATGGTCACACACTCACATAAACCCCCTCACAACACACTCACATATATGCACAATTTGGAAATGAAAATAAAATATTATTTTCAATAATTCTGATGCACTGAGACTGTGCTACATTCCAGCTGTCACGTTTGCTGTTGATGGAGGGAAGGGCGTTACTGGACGAAGAGAGAGTCGCGGTCTTGGACGAGGAGGACATGGTGGTGGGGGGGGGGGGGATGAACTCAGTGGAACTGGTGTGTCCACCACCTGACCACATCCCATTGTCTGGAGCGGGATAACTCGCCTGGTAATAGTCTCATCCTGTCTAATGAGCCTGGCTGACTCAGGGCATGTTTCGGGGAAAAAGAGGGAGCTGGGAACTGTGAAAACTCTGAGAATGCAAGGCTGATTTGCAAGGGAAATGAAGTGGACATAAAGCACGGTTATTGCCTGTCACTGAATCTCCCCAGCCTGATCCCACTTTGATGCACTGAGTCTTCATCCTGCATGCAGCAGATGTCTCGTCATCGATGGCTGTTTTACTGTTAAGATAAATTTACACTTTACCATCAAAAAAAGGATAAAATATTTCAGAGTCAAGAAAACAAAATAAATGGAGTTTAACTGTTATTTATATGTATATTTGTATATTTTAACCTTTATGTTGCTTCCGTACCAACTGAAACTTATTCCTTCATTCATAGTCACACAATGCGTTGATACATTAAGTTTCATTTAAGCTACAGCTATTTGACTTTATTTTACTTGTTTTACTGAGTGTATGCAGATAAAATGATGACTTTGAGGTTTGTATCTGAAAGTTCAGCAATGTGCAGAACAAGTCAAATCAAAATTGCAGATTCTTTAAAAAAAAAAAAAAAAGAAAAGAAGCTGCCTTACCCTCTTGTTTGCTAGAGTATCTCACACAGTTTCCAAAGTACACATTCAACTAAATCTTAGCCGCTCCGCCCGAGTAAATGACTTCCTGAGGCTTATTTTGCCTTGTCTCCTTCTTCTTCTCACTAAATAAAGCAGTCTAATTTTATTATTGGTGTCTCCTGTGTTTGCTGGCATGACCATGCCAAGCAAAACAGGGTGGCAGACAGAACCAACATTGACTTGCCCAGTTCCTCACGGATGGGCCCCGACCAGAGAAGGAGGCAGGGATGCGGACTGCCAACACTCCGGCTTTCAAAACGCCACTAAATTGATGCTGGCTCCGAGAAGGTCACCTACGATTGGCCAGCGATACTTACATCACCCGGTTCCTGTGAGGACCCTGACGCTAACTTCAAGCAGTTTAGCTAAATGGAGATCAAAATGTTTGAGGAGAAAAACAAACTTCTTTCAAAAGTATGTAGAGGTACAAATCCAAACCAGAACGGTTTTAGTTTAACTGTCTATAAAGTTGCAGTTTGTTTATACTTTAAGGATTGAAATATTTCTCGGTAAAATCTGGAGGGATCAGTAAATAAATCTTTGTGAAAACTTTGTCATCATAACATTTAAAATTTGGTGCCTCAATCCGGCATGAAATAAAACAAACAAACAAACAAACAAACAAAAAAAAAAAAATCAAGTTTGAAATAAATCTGTCCCAGTGGAGCAACTGATTATGGTTGTTTACTGACAAGATATTCAGACCTGAGTCTAAAACTATTTGTAAATAATTCTCAGTGTCTGTTTCAACCTGCTCGGAGTGCCAGATGGGGAGGGATTACTACACCAGGGAAAGTCACAGAGTGTCAGGTTACTTTACAACTTTTCTGATTATTGAAACTTTCTGGTACTCATAATGAATTTCACATTTGGTAAAATTCACATTTCAATGCTCATAAAAGTACAAAAATAAAAGTTATATATATGATATTACTATTATTATTGAAATAATATATTTAATACAATGTAAAACGTGTTTAGTGATAGTATTGAAGACAAACAGCCACCACAGGTGGAGAGTTCCTATTTTTTTTTTTCCAAAAAGGGAGAAAAGAAATTTGAAAATTGAAAAAAATAATACAGCAACAATTTGACATCTGGTCATGTTCTGTTCTCTGAACAGTTGTCCACAGTCTTTCACTTTCTTTTTTCATTGGTTCTCTCCTTTTCACTTTTTCTTGGCACATCTCAATTGTGAATGGGGTGGCAGCGTAGCTGCTCATCTTCTTTCCACAGCTTTAAGACTTGTTGATTAGTAACTATGGCTGTGTTTTCATTGTCACAGCTTTCTGCTGTTATTGAACTGTGGCACTGTTCCATCGTCATCTACTTTCTCCATCTTTACTTGAACTTATTTCAACCTTTTTCCCTTCACACTTTCTGAGTCCATACTTATCATAGAGCCACTTTACAGTCCAGTGTTTCAGTCAGAATGGAGACTTACATTGATTAACAGCAGTTAACATAATATTTTTTGTCCCCTTTGAAATCTACAATGTAGTAGAAATAGACCTTTTCAAATGTCAAATGGTCTAGTTCAGCATATATTTAAAAATTCTCTGGTCATTGAAAATAAGAAACCATTAAGAATTTGATGAGAGAATATGAGGGAATCTCCCTTCTGGCCGATGTAATTAAGAATGATGAATTAGCATATTACTACCCCCCCCATAGACACACACTCACATTGTTACACTGCCCCCAGCACCCACACAAGTTGCACTCCTCTGTCACCAGTGAGACAGAGGAGAGAGAGACTGAGCCACCAGCATGTGGGATCCTGTAAGACCCTGGAATGTGGAGTGTGGGAGGAACATTTGCCACAAATTTTTCATGCTACTGATGCAGAGGTAGCAGAGGTAGAGACAAAGAAAGAAAATAAAAAAAATAAAAAAAATCTGATAATGAGACAGGAAATGGTCAGAAGGCTGGAGAGGCTCAGGTAGAAGGAAAAGGAGAAATCAAAATCTCTCTCCCTCATTTCTCTTGTTGTTTGTGGAGCTCCTTGGCAGAGAGCGTGGCAGGGACAGCAGGACCAGAGTTTTAAATGTAGCTCAGTGTTGGCAAAGCCGTGTGTGAGTGCACTCTGTGGGAGCACCAAATCTTGTCGCACAGCGCAAGATGGCGATTCAGACAACACAGTAGAGCCCATCAAAACCCATTTACCCTCGAGGTGCATATATACCCCATAACCTGTGGTTGGATTTTCTATACTCACTAGCTCAATTCTCACAAGCCTCTATAGCGTAGTGCCATGAGGAATGCATTTTAAAACCATGTCTGCGATGCACACTTTCTCTGGTTTCTGGGCCATACTAAAACGGACAGAACACCGCAACATATTAGGTGACCATTGCAATATTTGTTTAATACGCATATGATCAGCAACACATGTCCATCCTCTCACACTTGATATCTTTTGTGGTATGACAAAGAGCAGGGTAGAGGGGGAGAGGGGAAAAATAGGGAAGAGTTTGTTCTCCCATGTGGTTTTGGCCCGTTCTGAGGGGCTTGGAGCCACGCCAGTCTATCCCTGATCCAGCCTTTGATATGGATGGGGTTCATTATGTAACTGAATCTATTGTCAAAGAATAAAACAATATGGGGCCAGTGGGAGAGGTGTGTTCTGTGTGTGTGTTTGTGGACCACAGAGGAACTAAAAT